AAACTATCAAGCGGACACAAGCCAATAACAGTAAACATTTTAACTCAAGCAGGCGTTAAGAGTTCTTTAAAACTGAGCCAAAACAATAAAATGGGAAATTAAAAGGCTTAACTTAAATTTTAGTTGATATTTTTAATGTTTACGCTTTGTTACGTTAGTAGTGAGACCTGTTTTAGGTGCTTTTTCCTCAGTGAATCGCGGCACCGGTCACAAATAGAGACGGAAATATTACCTTAGAAAGCGCTAAGAAAAAGAGGAGCCAGTTCGAAACCACAGTAGATAGAAAACCAGTTGACAATTAGACGTCGTAGTTTTTATCGTCTACTTAATAATAGGTTGAAACTGCCTGCGCGAGCAAAAGTTTGAACGTTTTAAACACGGAAATTACTTAGGCTGCCATTCCATTAAATTTATGTTACGCTTAAGTAGATTTGTGTTGTTTAGATTCTGCGGTATGCACGCTCCACGTGCTCGAGCTAAGATCACTCAAATAACCTTAGATTTATAGCAATAGCTTTATTTTCGCTTGTTGAATTCCAGTTTTTACGAGATTTCAAGTTTAATAAATGATTGGAGCTACAATCCCGGACAAAACTACTTGAGAAAGTTTTCCCCATCATGTCCATTTTCCTACGCAACAAAACTATTTCCAAAACGACGCCTTTGCGGAAAGAAAACCCCTTCCCCCAATTCAATGTTGCTTCCCACAAACGCCCAGGGATCAGGCTTTCTTTTGAATGCACAACAACATTGCTTTCAGGGGAAGGGGGAGAGGGAAGAACCGGTACAGCTACGACGTTTAGAAAAATGCTGTCCAAGTATACAATTTTCTCAACAGTTTTGTCCAAGATTGTGTACAAGGTGATTCGCGTTTTCTGGCAAGAATATTTGCAAGGACAAAACAAAAACATGCTAATAAAAAGCACTTTACAGAAGCTGTTTTGAGCGCAAAGTTTCACGCCAGACCATCTTCTCATGGAAAAGCACGACCTCATATTCGTTTTTTGCAGCACCCTCTTTAAAACAGTCAGATTTCGCAATAGCCGTACAACGCGCGCCAATTGTTACATATTTTCCTGTAGTTCCGGAATGGAAGGCTCGGAAAATGTGAAAAGTAATTTATCTTTTTCAGAAGAGTCTGAACAAGACTTGTATGACGGTTCTCTTCGAAGAAAAGGAGTTTGTAGTGTTTATTTAGGGGCATAATGGTCAATCCGATATGGAACCGTTTCCCGTCACGTGGATATTGCTTCTCAGAGCGTATAATTGGTTAAACTATGGGTGTTACAGAAACTTTGTTTGTTAAAAGTCGGTTAACTTTTTATGATAATTCCATGGATAGAATAATATTACGATTAACAAAGCATTGAAACGGTTAACACCATTTCGTTTTCAATAGAGAATGACCTTCTGATTCTTATTAAACTTTCCTGTTAATCGTTGTTAACCGTTGCTAATCTTCGCAGGCGCTCAAAAATGTCCTGTTAATCGTTCCGACTTGCAGATATTGTGGAGAGAAAAAGATTACAAGTCAACTATGGCAACTTTTATCATGCCTTGGTTGACAAATTATCAATTTAGGTCATAATTTTTTCCAGTCATATGTAGCCCGAAGACAAAACGTGCACTTTTACAGGTCACGCGATAGTACATCTTGTCACGTTATCGCGCGTGACATTTCTAGATTTCATAGTGTGTTTCTTTGGACTGGATATCACTACAATTTCAAAAGTAAGCATTCAAATGTGAAAAGTAAAAATGCAGCTTTTGTAAATATTTAATCCTCTCTCCATTTAATGCTTTTATTCATTGCAAGTGCTTGCCCATTGACTATTTCGGCGATGGGAAAATTGTTCAAAGTTGTCGGGTCACGCGCTCTAAAAATTCAGCAAAAGTTTCATGTGTTATTTGTTGATCGAATCGTAGTGGGTAAAATTCCCGCTTTCTGACTAATCTGCTTGACGGAAACGTCCTTTTCGTCCTCGAAAGGCGCAATGTATGCCCGCTACTCTTTACTCAAAGCGCGCGTAAAAACCATGCATGGAAAATGAATTTCGCAAACCTTCTTTACTGACCACTCCAATCAAGGAAGACATACCAATTGGTTTTCTTGTCATAAACGCCTCTGTTTTCACTCATCTTGCATTAATTATCTACTTTTCTTTGAAATGTACTACATTTATAAAGAACAGGCTTATTTGGCTGCGCTAAAGGCTGCAAATCGCCTTTCCCAGTCAAATACAATCCCGGACAAAACTACTTGAGAAAGTTTTCCCCATCATGCCCATTTTCCTACGCAACAAAACTATTTCCAAAACGACGCCTTTGCGGAAAGAAAACCCCTTCCCCCAATTCAATGTTGCTTCCCACAAACGCCCAGGGATCAGGCTTTCTTTTGAATGCACAACAACATTGCTTTCAGGAGAAGGGGGAGAGGGAAGAACCGGTACAGCTACGACGTTTAGAAAAATGCTGTCCAAGTATACAATTTTCTCAACAGTTTTGTCCAAGATTGTAGATAGATGTTTGGAGTCCCTGTGAAATAAAACATTTCTCCGTTCCGACGTTAACCGGAATCTGAAGAATTGATTGATGACAACGTCCGCCCCGTTATAAGGAGCAAGAAAACTTATAAAAACTTCATGAAAGAAAACTCAGTACAATTCGTTGAACAGTTCTTAAGAGCATGTTAAGAACGTTTTCAGGCTCAAATCGCAAAATAAATAAGAACGTTGAGGTAGTTCAGCCTCAGCCCCAAAATTAGACGTTCTTACAAAACAGAGTGTAATGCCTTCTCGTAGCTTACTGAGAAGAATCGAACTAAAATACACTTACTTGTGCTGTATTTTGTGTTCCTGTGTTGTTTCGAAGCGATTTGGGCTGGTTTTCCGATACTGAGAGTTAACCTTCAGTCCAAATCGCTTTAGAGGAACGAGTAAGGGCAGAAGCGTAGCGTTCATACCCGCACATAAGCCCGCGCGGACATAAAAAAAGCATTTTTCATCATTAAAT